TTGGATGATGAAAGTCAGAGGAAGATAAAAGTTTAGATCGGATCAACTTTACCACACTCCCACGGACACATTCAGTCTTAGTCTTAAATAATAAAAGGTAAATATTTTACATTCTCCACGTTCAGAGCATGGGCACTAAAATATTGGATTCTAAAACTACTAAAAATATTATTACAATTAGACTCTTACTTCAATTCAATTCAAATTATATATTTTATTATTATATTTTCTAAATGTATACTTTGCTTGTCCTGCTGTCTGTTTGTATCCAATAAACGCCAAAACGGCTGAACCGAACGGGCCCAATTTTGTGTGGGACCTCGTGTGACCCCAGGGAAGATTTATAGATAATCGAATTATCAAAAATTCTATTTTGAAAATTTTAAAAATCCACTAAATTCGTTTATAAAATCTGCGAATTTTTTTGTTTTGTTTTATAATTTATTCAAAGAGAAAATAGATGATGGGCGCCCTTAAAGCCTGGTAACACTAATAATAATATGCATACAACAATTGTTCCTTCAGTTAATAGCTCGGAGCTGTTTTAACCGAACCCTCCTCCAAGTAAAAAAGTCTAAAACAATTGAATTGGCAACACAATGGGACGGAATAAATTGAATTTGAAATATCAAAGATTTACACTATGAGGTTTAAAAGATAAAATTAGAAAGTTATGAATTCAGAAAAATATATAGTTCAATAATGTTGGTTCAAAGCTAGCTTTTTTATCCTCTCCAGATCCAAGATTTATATTCCTTGAAATTTGAGTAAAGAAACCAAAGTTGGGCAGTAAATTCCGAGCTGGTTCAAAGCATCATGTCAGACAGTTTTTGCGGGGATTCTCGACTCTTAACAGATTTAAGATTAATGAAATCTGAGAACACGCCAAACCATATCATAGATATTAGATATATTTAAACAGCAAACCAATTTATTACGTAAAACATCTCGTAATATTTCTTAAATTAAGTCCAAAATAATTTTTGGAAAGAGAGATGACATTTTTTACTGGGTAAAGAAATGAGAAGATTACATTTAACCATAAAGTCGTCTTCCAAAGTTCTCTGGTTCTCACTGAAGAAAGTTTGATTTCATTTAGTTAGTCAATGAAACAACCGGAATATTTTTAAATTCCAATTTATTATGAAGTGTTGAAATAGTCTTACAGGTATTGAGGTCTTGCCACAAACTCTTCATTTTTTAATCCCTAACTCTTTTCAAGCCGATGTCGGAGACCTTTTATATTTCAAACTATGAAACAAAGTCTAAGTTTGAATTATAAAAGGTTTGCATCATCAGGTCATGTTTTCGAAAGCTCTCATACATTCAATCTTTTCATATTCAAAAAACCATCTGACTTTTTTTTGCGCCACCCTTTTAATTTTCCCTATGCTGTACAGAGTATGCAAGTTAAGTTAAATGTTTAAAGTTTAAAGGAAATTATTTTTGACAGGGCGGGAGTAGGTTTATTTTGTAAATTGTAAACTATATAATGTTTGTGTCATTTCGTCAAAACTTTCTATACCTTTCTCTACTTTCAAGGTTTGTCTTTACGACATAACAGAATTTATTATAAAATCATAAATTGTGCCATTTTTCTAATGTTTCACGACACACTATAGTAAATTGCATAAAATATTAAATTCTTATATGTTTTCAATCATAACTCCTCTTATTGAAGAGATATTGAGAAGAACAAAATGTTTTGAATTTTTAAACTGGATAAATTTGCTTCTCTCAAACTTATGCATAAAATCTAAATCAGAGGAGCTACGATATCACAAAGTGGTACCAGTAATATTGCACATACATTTTTACGTTCTTCTGTCAAATTCACAGTGGGTTTGTTTGATTTGAAGAAATTGATTGAATATAATATTATTTTAATGATTTCTATCCTTGGCTCAGATTTGAAGAGTAGTAGAACTTACTTAAACCACTTCTCTTGAGCTTGAACCGGTGCTCAAGAGAAGGTTTATCTATGTCTCGTTGGCATTAAATCATACACATGTTTATGCCTGTACATGTATGTCACACTTGGCTGTGTCCTCAGAAGTGTTTCTTCAATATTCGTCCACATTACATATATGTACAACCTTAGCTTGTAGAGTCGCTATATTTCTATATTTTCACATTTATTCGGAGAAATAAGATGAAAGTAGAAATTAACTTTTAAGCTTAGAGGTTTAAACTTTGATGGAGAATATTTAATCAAAATCTGACAGAAAAACGGATTGAGGTCTTGTAACTGAGCTGGGAACTTTTTTGATGGTAATCCATAATTCTGGTTTCCACTTTGGGCACTTTTCAATTTTACACAGAATCTACTTGATTAATTGACTTTGGATTTACGCAAATTCTCTGTTCACGGGATGAACGGGATAGCTAGATATTGAATAAAGATTTACGTAATCTGTAGATAAACAAAAGTAATACTAGAAATCCCGCCTCTGATAAACTTTATGCTCAAAAATGTCGATAATATACACAGATATCTACACAATTTTGATATTTTGCACACCGATTCACAATTTTTGTTTATTATGCGCAATTTGGCAATTTGACAATTCTGTGGATCAACTTTAACCCATTTTTCGTTAGATTAGGCCTCCTCAGACACCACAGTTCAAAGGCTGAAATTGGGGTCAAGTACTGAGGGTAGAACATTCTAGGGGCCGAGCGCTGCGGCTAGGACAGACTTGGGAAGTTGCTTCTTGGGAAACCCCTGGGTAAAGTAACTAGCATCAATGATTTGAATTCTGGGGGGGGGGCAAACATTTTTATGAAACTCAAGTTTTTTTCTTTGCAAAGATCCAGATTTTATCTGATGGTTTTATCAAATTGTTTTTATTGAATTGAAGCTCTATTCAATATTTTGGAAATTTTATAGGTTTGGATGGGATAAAGGTTTTGGCAGAATAGTACTAGTCTAGGAAGACGGATATAGAGATGTTTGGGAAAATAATAATGACATATCTTATATGAGAGTATTTATCTATATGACTATCTGAGATCGAAACGCTTGATCTCGATATAGTGGGCACTTATAAATTTAAAGATCAATGCTTGATCCCTCTATGAAAGTTATCTCTGTAGGGTATGACCAATCCCGATATATCGAAGTTCAATTAAATTAATCTGTAAATCTGCACATAAAAAAGTTTTGGTGAAATTTCAAAGAACCTGCAACAAACTCTAAAAATGAGAATAAGCTGCAATTTGATTGATTGATTGATTATCGTTTATTTCTTCATGCCTTATTACTGGCATCTTAAATGACTGCAATTTGAAGTTTTAAATAAACCATTAAACATAAATATTTAGCCACAAGTAATCGTTTAAAATAAATCCTAATTTATTAATTTTTTTTCTAAACAAATACTTTTTTGTTAGAAACATGTTTATTTAAGTTAACCGAATTTTAAACTGTCAAGGAATAACTGAAATACCTTTGCTAGTGTTATGGGAGGGCGGGGAGGGGGGGGAGGGGGTAGTTGTCAAACTATACTTAGTACTTACCTAATATCATTATGCAACTTGATATTTTAAGCCTAAATATAGAAAGAAAGTATGCTAAACATTTAAATTTTGTAGTTTGCAGTGAATATAGTTGAACATTTTATATTTAGAAATGAGATTATAGATTTAGCCTAGATTCTAGGTCCTAGATCCTAGATTATAAACTGTAGAATTTAGATGCATCCTAGATCAAAGAGCATAGACTCTAGATGATAAATTGGATCCCAGAACCTATATAGATCAAATATTAAAGATCATTGAGCATAGATCCCATATCTTAGATTTTGATCATGGATCATAGATTATAATTCCTATATACTAGATCTTAGAATTTAGATCATAGATCATAGATCATAGATCATAGATCATAGATTCTAGATCCAATATCTTAGTTCTTAGATCCTTAACTCCAGATCACATATGCTCTATAGATCCTTTAAATTATGTCTTTATTTTTAAATCCTAATAAAAATTTGTACAGAAGTATAGTGTGTAGTATTATATTTTAATATGTATAGCGTGTAGTAGCATATTTTAATATGTATAGTGTTTAGTAGTATATTTTAATATTTATAGTGTGTAGTAGTATATTTTAATATGTATAGCGTGTAGTAGCATATTTTAATATGTATATTGTGTAGTAGTATATTTTAATATGTATAGTGTGTAGTAGGACATTTTAATATGTATAGCGTGTAGTAGCATATTTTAATATGTATATTTTGTAGTAGTATATTTTAATATGTATAGTGTGTAGTAGCATATTTTAATATGTATAGTGTGTAGTAGCATATTTTAATATGTATAATGTGTAGTAGCATATTTTAATATGTATATTGTGTAGTAGTATGTTTTAATATGTACAGTGTTTAGTATATATTTTAATATCTATAGTGTGTAGTAGTATATTTTAATATGTATAGTGTGTAGTAGTATATTTTAATATTTATATCGTGTAGTAGTATATTTTAATATGTATAGAACTATATTTTACTTCCATTTTATATTTCGACATGTACTGTGCAGTAAGTAATTACAATCGGCAATAAAAAATATTTTACGTTCAATTTTTTATGCATTACTTACGAAAGTAAGGTTTTTTTTTAATTTTAAGAAAACTCTATATTTGCACTTTTTTAATATTAGTTTTTTATTCACAGATTCTATCGATTATTCCTTCAACTTTTTGTGATCTTGAATTTTTTTTTATTTAGTAATTTATTTTTCGTTTTACAAACGGCACACTTGAGAACGATTTTTCTTGGTTTGAACACTACATGTATATCTGGCAATTTTTAACGCTCAATTTTGGAAATGGCAGGACTCTAGGGCTATACATGTGCGTGATTATAGTTTATAAATCATATTTGTAAAATTAGATTATAAAGTCGTCTAATTAGTTGTAAATTAATTCCGGTTAATAAAGTAAATTTTCTTCTAAAGTTTTATCTCATAAAAACTTTAAACATTGTTATATTTAGGCATCAGGGTCTGTCGGTCAACCCACCAGCTTGATTGTACCTGGACACTCCAAACCCACCCTGCCCGGTCACACCCTAGGTGTCCCTGGTCAGGTACGCCAGGTAACTGGACACCCTGGACACCATCATCCAGGTCTAAACCATCATACACCTGCTCAACACATAAACCATACTGGAGCTTTCAAACCAGAGGTAACAATCTGGAAGGAACTTTAAGCATAATGTCAAGTGACCTTCAATGCAAAGATGGCAATGCCCGATTCACAACAACACCCTTGAAACTGTTATCTGATCAATCTGATCAATAATGGGAAAGATTCTGTTATTTTTTCTAATATGAAAAATATCTGATAACTCCTGCAGTGTAAAATGTGCAAATTAGTTTTGCAGAGAAACCACAATTAAAAATCTAAATTGATATATAATTCCTAATTGATCAAACAAAACTTTAAAGGGTATTACAATTGTGAATTGGGCATTACCATATTTGTATGGCAGGTCACTTGAAATTACACTTACTGCTCCTTTGAAGTTTGAAGGAAATTTTACCAACTCAAGAAAGATTCCACGCTGAAATTCTTTTTTTTTAATCCCTTTTGCTTTCCAACCTGATTGAAACCTTGAATTTTTAAAATTTTGATCCAAGATCCCAGTTTAGGCCCTGCTTGGTAGACTCTTGTAGTGTGACTACTAGTTTCAAGTATATGTAAAAACTGGAAAAGTTTTCATATAAATGATTTCAATCACCTAGTGCTCCAACTTTTGTACTTTAAGGGAACCTTAAGGATATTTGTTAGTTTTATTTAAAAGTTTTTCTGCTTTAGAATTTTAAAAATAATTAAGAGAGAGAAAAACAATTATGAAATGTTAAAACCTTGAAGAATTTAATATTCCTTTGATATTAAAAAAGGGTTTAATCTGAAATGTAAAAATCTGTATAATATATTTGTATGTATGCTGCACCCTGCTTTCCTTCCTAGCTCTTAAACACCTGTTCTCTAATAAAACTTTTCTCGATCCCACACAGGGAAAATATCCATATAATCCCCCACTAGCAAAATATCCAAATAAGGGTTGTATATATTTTTATAATCCCCCACCAGGAAAATATACATATAAGGTGTGTATATTTGTATAGTTCACCACCAGGAAAATATCCATAAAAGGGGTGTATATTTTCACAATCCCCCACCAGGAAAATATCTATATAAGGGGTGAATATATTTTCATAGTCCCCCACCAGGAAAATATCTGTATAAGGGTGTACATTTTCATAGTCCCCCACCAGGAAAATCGTAATATCATTGTTTATTTTTCCTGGTCTAATTCCTTACCAGAAAAATCTCCATTTCAGCCCCCAGTCCCCCCCCCCCCCCAAAAAAAATATCTATTTAATTCAAAATCTTTTTAAATGTATCAGGTTTTGCACTTTTATAAACCTCATAACTTTATATTTTTCATTTTACCACTTAGAGTTAAAAAAAGGAACTTAAACGAACTTTTCAGAAAAAGGTGGTTTTTTAATTTTGGAAACGATGCCATTCCCTTGTAAATGTTTGAGCTACAGGCCGGAAAATAAACATTGTTAATACATTAAGGCAGCTTTATTTAAGAAGATAAATTGCCTCTGTTAGGTTAAAACCAAAAATAAAACACTTCTTTTGAATATTTAATGCATATTTATGTTTTGAAATTTCCTGCGAGCTTCCATCTTCATCAGCTCTATTGTATTCTGGAAGCAGTATAATCCATTCAAAGCTCTTGGATTCAGTCCAGGGGTTAATTTAGTTCATCACATAATTCTGCATTTAAACTCAATATTTATATTTTAAAAACATTCTTTCGAGTAAAAGGGAATATTTAAAGCAAAAGCAAATATTTAGCAACATTTTTGTTCACGTTAATATGTAACTAGATAATGTACAAGTTTTATTTAAAATTTTATTTATTTTAAAGTCATTTTGCATTCAGATTAAAGGTACCCCTTAAATCTTTGTCTGATCAAGGATGAATGAGATTCCATTATTTGTTTAATATATTTAATTGTGGTTTCTCTATAATATTGACTTGAGAATGAGTTAGTTGCAGATAGACAATGAAGAAAGTTGCCCGAATTTAACATATTTTAAGAAAGAAAACAAGGATATTTTCTCAATTCTATTCAGAAAGAAGTTTATAAGATACCATTGTGAGTCTGACATGTCACTGTAAAAATAGAAATTACTTGAAATTACGCCCAAAGTCCATTCAATAATGATTAAGATCTACTATAGGACCAGGGAGGAGCTGAGGCTGGTATGGATGGCTGGGAGGGAGTTCAGCAGCACAATGATTGCATTAATTGCGATGGAACAGAGGGGTGGGCCACTGCTCCCGACGGATGGGGAAACGCACCTGACGGGTGGGGAAATGGGCCTGATGAATGGGCGCATACCCCGGATGGGTGGGGAACTGCCCCAGATGGATGGGGGAACACCCCGGATCCTGAATGTGTAACCACCCCAGATGGATGGGGGAACACCCCGGATCCTGAATGTGTAACCACCACTCTTCAGCTTAATGAACAGCTGAGTGCAGAACGACTTTCCTTTATTCACTCGCAGAGCAGTCATGAGGAGGATCATGATTATGATAGTTTTCCTCTCCCTGCCCCTCATCATAGATCATAGATCATAGATCATAGATCATAGATTCTAGATCCAATATCTTAGTTCTTAGATCCTTAACTCCAGATCACATATGCTCTATAGATGAACAGCTGAGTGCAGAACGACTTTCCTTTATTCACTCGCAGAGCAGTCATGAGGAGGATCATGATTATGATAGTTTTCCTCTCCCTGCCCCTCCCCCACCACCACAGCAGGTTCCCCTGCCCATTCCGCCCCCGCCAAAGACTAGGGAGTCCACCCCGATGGTTACGCCGACGAACCCCTCCTTGGTGGAGTTCAGACAACCCAGCTCTCAGAACTGGGGGAGTGGAGAAGAGAGTGATGGAGAGCGTTCTAATACAATAAGGCAGCTATTCAATATTATTTTATTTTCTTTAAAGGAATTAGATAAAGACAATTTACCAAATCGCCCCCCCCCCCTTCTCTACCATTCACAATTCCGTCCTTCTTCTCAAGGAGCAGATGTAAATTAAACCTGAATCGTTGTATTAGCGAAACACAGAGTTAATCCCACAAGAACACCTTTCATGATGTTAATTGCAAATTTTGATGGGGTTTAGAAAGAGGGGATGGAGGATTGATGCTATGGGCGGGAGATTTGAAGGTTCTTTACTAGTTCTTAACCGGAAAGAATGTTGAATAAATTCTGTCATAGGAGAAAATCCAAAAGAGATCGGCACAAGACAACAATTATTGCAGAGCGAAGCTTTCATGTTGGGAAGAAAAACAAATCAAGGAGTAAGTCGAGGAGCCCAGGACGGGAGATTGATCGCGCGATCGTGATCGTGCATCATACAACGTGCACGCATACCCGCAGTCGAGGGAATTCTCCAGACAATCTGTCCGAGTCCTCGATATCGTTCCATGAGAACGAAGTTATCAGTGATTTAAGTACAAGTACAGTGCCTCGACTAGAGGGTGGTGTATCCTCAGTATCCTCTGTTTCCTCTGTACCCTCTGTACCTCCAGCATGGTACGAGGGTCCACTGGATCCCTGTGTTTCTGTATCCAGGGATACAGTGAGGGGAGGGGAGTCCAGGAGTTTACATTACTCCAACTGGGAGTCCTGTAGGGAGTCCTGGTTTTCCTCGGGGAGTGATTGTCCTAGACCAAGTTCAGGTAGTGATTGTCCCCCCCAGCCTCCCAGGGATAAGGAGCCCCCTCGGGTCCCTCCCCACCACCCAACCACCCTACCTCGGGCTGTTGCTCGGGGCGGAGCAGGGAGTAGTGTTGGAACAATAAGGCAGAATTCTCGTGAGAGTGGTTCAAGCTCTAGTATACAGAGCTGTAGAGGAGGAGGAGGAGGAGGAGGAGGAGGAGGCGCCAAATCTTATCCCAGATCTTTACCTAAATCTGCAAATAGGTAATATTTTATCTTTTTTTTTCTGAATCTAAAAAATCCCCGAAAAATTCATGTCTCATGTTTAAAGCTTTCGGGTCAGTACAGTACGTATGTATTTTCTATCTAGAACCGGACTTTTCTAGTATATTTGTTAACTATTTTTGATTAAAAGATGTAAATTGGCGGGGTTTAGAAATTTTTTAAATTTAAAAACTGCTTGTATTTGAAAATCTATTAGGGCGGAAAGTTTGATAATCTAAATGTATTAAAATTCCATATTATGATAATCATAACAAATATTACGATTAAAATATATTTTACAAAATAAATATTTTAAGTGATTTATTTATTTTAATTTAAATATTTCTAAGAATGGTCATAATTAAGAAATTAATTAGTTACTTAACAAAAAAACGAAGACGATCCGTTTTTTCTTTTTAGTTCACTTTATATGTTTTCAACAACCTTTTAAAAAATCTTCAAAAACATAACATTTGGATAATTGCTACTTTTTATCAATTAGATTTGAATACAAACAAATTTTTATATTTTGAGTAGAAAAAAATGGTTTCTTTAGTTTTAATTAAAAAAAAAAAAAGTAATATGCAATAAAATATTCAAATCCAAGCATGAATCGTACTGCCAAATCTTAATGTTTCATAGGCCTTTGTCTGAATTTAACGTTTTAAATAAATTATTAAGTATATTTTAAAGAAAATGAACTTTGTACTCTTTGCATATGAAACGCCGGTTCATTTTAAGAACAGGGCTGACTTTGACCTGCTAGAGCAAGCTGTACAGTACACACTTCATATACAGACAATACGAGACAAACGGGACAGTTCGCCAAAAAAATGAAAATTGCTTAAATTGTTAAGATACTTTCTTTACATTATAAAGATACTTTTCTTTTAATTATAAAGATACTTTTCTTTAAATTATAAAGATACTTTCTTTACTTTATAAAGATGCTTTTCTTCAAATTAAAAAGATACTTTTCTTCAAATTACAGTGAAACCCTTAATAACGAATGCATCAAAAGAATTTATAAAATGTCGTCTTGACAATATTTCAATGAGTTGTATACTGTATTACGTAAATTTCAGTATTTGCGAAAATAAATAAATATCCATGAATATGCGGGAACAGTTTTAAAGAGTTCCATATAATCATTTAATTAAACAACTAAATATCTGCAACATTCCATTATCAGAAAGTGAAGAATACGACATTTGATGAATTCTTTCGATGTATTCGTTATTACGGGTTTTACTGTATAAAGATACTTTTCTTCAAATTATAAAGATACTTTTCTTCAAATTATATAGATACTTTTCTTTATATTATTAAGATACTTTTCTTTATATTATAAAGATACTTTTCTTTATATTATAAAGATACTTTCTTTAAATTACAAAGATACTTTTCTTTAGATTATAAAGATGCTTTTCTTCAAATTATAAAGATACTTTTTTAAAATTATATAGATACTTTTCTTCCAATTATAAAGATACTTTTCTTTAAATTGTATAGATACTTTTCTTCCAATTATAAAGATACTTTTCTTTACATTATAAAGATACTTTTCTTCCAATTATAAAGATACTTTTCTTTAAATTATAAATATACTTTTCTTTAAATTATAAAGATACTTTTCTTTAAATTATATAGCTACTTTTTTTTAAATTATAAAGATACTTTTCTTTAAATTACAAAGATATTTTTCATTAAATTATAAAGATACTTTTCTTCAAATTATAAAGATACTTTTCTTTAAGTTATAAAGATACTTTTCTTTAAATTATAAAGATACTTTTCTTTAAATTATAAAGATACTTTTCTTCAAATTATAAAGATACTTTTCTCTTTATTATAAAGATACTTTCTTTAAATTATAAAAATACTTTTCTTTAAATTACAAAGATACTTTTCTTCAAATTTTAAACATACTTTTCTTTAAATTATGAACATACTTTTCTTTAAATTATAAAGAAACTTTTCTTTCATTTATCAAGATACCTTTACTGAATGAAATACAACAGTTTTTTTTCCTGGACTTTGTCAAATACTTTTAACATCTTCAAACAATTTTCATGATGCTATACCTGACAGTGACACTTTTCTTGATACAACTTTTCCATTGCCGAGGTATTTCTTTTTGTAGATGATAAATTGATCTAGAAATATATTAATGAAGTACCGGTGTATTTCCTAATTAGATAATAGTTAATAAATAATTATTTTTAATTAATGGTATTTTGTTTAGGTCACACAGCCCTGGAGTACAGAAGTTAGGTAGGAAAACGATTTTTTTTTAAGTTCACAAACAGACGTAATTTTAAGTGACCCTCCATTTAAATATGAGTCATGTCCGATGCACAAGGGAACCCAAAAAAGGATGTCTGATCAAGAATGAATTGTTTAGTATTGAAAATCGATTATTTTTTCTTTTGGTTTCTTAACAAAAGAGGCTCGCGGATTTATGTCAGAACAATAGAAAACGAAATCTTCCACATTTTTGATCAGATAAAGGTTTTAAGGGTACAGCAGTTGTGAATAGGGCGCATGTCCTTTTTTTTAAATGGTGGGTCACAGTAAATAACATAAACAGTCCCTTTAGATAAATAATTAAAAGGGTTTTCAAAAATGGTATTTTTACGACTCTAAGAAATAAATTCACCATTAATTCATCCTCTCGAATAAATTTAGTTCTGTCGTCACTGAAGTATCCTATGGAGGTATCCCTTATATTATATCTTATACTGTTCTTAGTGCAACTAAAGTACAGATAAAATACATATAAAGTACATATAGTCTACAAGGTAATACAAAGGATAATACTTAAAGGATGATGACATTACAGACTTTATTCAGCTGTTTATAAAATTCCTAAAAATGCATTTTGTATAATGTAAATTGTATGTTGTATATACAATATACATGTTTGCTATTTATTTGCTTTTGTATTCAAATCTATTTAGTACCATAGTACAAAGACTCAATATACATTATACATAAATACATGAGTACATACAGTGTACATAAAAGAATATTTATCTTATACAAACATGTATACTGTCTTTAAATTATAAATAT